CCCCCGGCAAACATGTCGTGTCAGACAAATCAGACGAATATCACCGAAATATAAGCGTTCAGAGCAGATTTTTAGGTAGGAAACTGCGAGAATCTTTCTCATATAGTTATTAGTCTAAAAATTTTATTTATAGAAATGTTCGTTACAAAACATATAGTAAGAACATCCTTAAAAAAACATGCCATATAGAAATGTCAATTGAAAAACATAGGGGGCACGCGGATTTGAACCACGGACCTCTCGATCTGCAGTCGAATGCTCTACCACTGAGCTATACCCCCGGCAAACATGTCTGTCAGACAAATAGACGAATATCACCGAAATATAAGCGTTCAGAGCAGATTTTTAGGTAGGAAACTGCGAAAATTTTTATACAGGTACTGAGATTGTAGCACCTTCTATGTGATAGTATTTCTTTTGCTTTTGCGCTTACAAGTGTCTTGTAAAGCTGTTAAAAATTTTCATTTACTGATTTACAGCTTCTCTGTCTATTCCAATGAATTAATTGGAGTTCATTTGCTGAAGGCGCTTCGTTACCGCCTCCCTTCTGCTTCGTCGTCGTTCGACCGGGCTTTTGGCTAAATCGAAGTGCAGGATAGAATCAACATATACTTAAGCACAGGTACCCACCGCATACATAGATGTGTCTATGTATTTGGTGTCTATTATTATCAGTATTGTATAATAGGATAAGATCATCTTTGGCGCTCACTAATTACATGTAACGGATGCGATATCGCATTCGTGTTCAACGTGATATCGTTAAGGTAGTTGAATGCGTTTCTGCTCTATACAATAACTTGCGTTGACCACTCTTCAGCGAGCCAGGGCGAAATATCTTACCTAGATTTCTTTGATACCGAATTACCGACCCCGAAGGGATGGTGAGCTTTGTAGGCCAGGGAGGCGGCCGCGAACTGATTCGGGTCGGTATGTTACTGCTGCACCTCCACGAGTGAGCCATTGCGCTGTTTTGCGCTATATTTATTGCTCTCATTATTACCTTCATTACTACTATCATTGTTAACATTGTTATATTATTTTTGATTCGCTTAATTGAGCTGTTCATAAAATATATATATCCTGTCTATTTTTAAAACTCATAAAAAAATAATTATTGTCTAATATTAGCACCAAGTAATTTTAACGAGTATGTAAATTTAAATTTTCTTATGAGATGCTTACTAACTTGATAAGTTGAAAATCTTGCAAGCAACAAATTACAGTATGCAGTTTTTTCAACTTCTAAGAATGAAATAAACTTAATTGTAAGACTCTACAAATATTTTTATGCACCGATTTTCTGGCTAGATTGCTATTACTTTATTTAAATGACTGAGTTTCTTAAATGGTCGACAAGAGTGCCATAGCTCTATTGTACTCATCGTTTTGTGAAGAATCAGAAAAGCAGAATTTCTTGGTCATTTTATACGTTAAAATAACTATGACAAATCACTAACCTCTCAATTGACTGTTTCTATGAGGTATTATGCTTTTTAAACTCTACTCTTTAATTACTAATTACAACAGATTTGTATAAAGAATAAAAATATTCACCATATCAAAACAAGCATACTGCCTGAAGTACGAAGTTTTGCTATTAATTCAGAATCATCATGGATATAAGAAATAAAGATTTCAAGCCATGTAACGGGATAACTGGTTGAATAGATATTTTGACAACACTAACATCTTGATAATACAGCAAAAAGCAATCATATAATTGAAACTCTTAATATTGTCGATTGCTACGACAATTCCGATAGAAGTGGAGGATTTCGATCATTTTATCTGGTGAGCAAAAGCGACTATCGGTGGACTCGGTAGGATTTCTTCATTGTAGATAAACCGGAGGTCATCTAAAATAATACTGCGAAGAAACACACATTTCATAAAACACGATAAATTCTAGAATTAATTTCGGTTACTCCAGTTCAATCTGAATCTATGAGCTGCAGATAGTTTCAATGTAATAGCATTCGTTTCGGTCATTTGAAGGAGAATCATTTTAAACGAAAATAAGGTCGTTAGCAAACGAAAATGAGCTAGACTATAAGTGTTGTCTTAAACTACAAAAAATCGCGTGATTCAGGACATGAACATCGAGTTTGCATGAGCCACAGAATGTCTTTTATATCGATTGAACTTGCCTAGTGAACATATGCCATTGGCGTTGCTCATATCAATTTGGCCAAAACAAGTAGAAACTAGACTAAGAAGGAAAGCATAATCGATAATCCTCATTTGGTCTTTGTCAAATTGGGTGAGTTAATAAATCTGTAGTGATGCAATCATGTTCATTGTTTTCAAACAAAAAAGGGATAAATTGAGATCATTTTCTCTTGTACTATGTGAGATAGAAAACTTTAGACGAAAGAAATCACAAGTGGTTACAAACGTGTAATATGTGGCTATTTTCTTCCCTCATAATTCTCCAGGATTACTTATTGCTTGAGAATCTGTTAGTGTTAGCTGACAGTTCTTCTTGAGCTTTCTCATTACTTCTCTCATTTCTTTCTATATTGATGATGTTAGTATTTCTGTTCTGCCAGTGTTTTTTATAACGCACGTTCTTTCACATTTATTCACTGTCACTTTCTCATCTCGATTTTTAAAAGAAAGGAAAGATCACGTTCTTCACGTTTCTTTTATTC